TTTAATCTAAATCATGTTTACTCATTTTTAAAAAAAATCTTTAAACTTATTTATAACTTAACTAAATATAAAAGAAATACAAAGGTTTTGGTCTCCACTTTATTAAAAAATAACCTTCATGTAGTAGTTTTGTTGGTTATCCAATTTTACAGTTTTGTTGGTTTTTATAATAAAAATAAGACATAATTTAAAATAGATAAATTATTGACGGTTGAAAGAGGATGGAGCAAAGCAATTCTTGCATTTCAAAATCAAAGTGTTTAGGGTTTATCGAATATGCATTCCAATTCATCACAGTAGTAGTACTTTCCATTTTCATTCGAATTAAATCTTCGATATATATAAGGTTCCCAACCTCTCCATGTTCTTGTTTATCGAATTCATAACAACCATGTGTTACTGTCAAAGCCATGGTTGAGCCAAGTACTATGGTATTGATAAAAATTTATTCACTAGAGTGTGGGATTGTTTCTCATAATTTGTTAGATATGACTCAATGAAGGGTTTCAAGATTTCTTGTTTTCTTACATTAATCTAAATTACATTAATTTATAAGTTTGTTTCTAAACATAAAAATAAAGAAATTAAAAGATTATTTTATTAACATAAAATAAGAAACTTTTAATTTTTTAACTAAAAATTTACACTTTAAAATTATAAAATTATGACATTAGAAAGACATTTTTCAATAAACAACTAAACTAAAAAAAAAGTGTGTGAGTCTTTTGCATGAGTTAAAGGAGAGGTGTCTGAGAGATGGCAAATAGATTGTTGGCACAAAACTTTGAAGTTGAGTGCATTGAGAAGCACTTAGGAAAACAAGGTTAGCAAGATGTCCAACTGATTCATGAATGCTAACTAGGTTCTTGCATTTATCAAGTCTCAGTTCTCTTAAATTCATTGTGCCAGACACATCAGGAAATTTAGTAATCATGTGACAATTAGAGAAATCCATAGAAGTCAAATGCTCAAATCTCTGCAAAACATACACAAATTAATTAATTAACAATTTTTTGTGATCTTTCCTTTTTCTTATTATGTTGGGTTTTTTTTGTGTGTTATCTCATCGTTGACTATAAAGAAAAGATTTTTTTTTTCAACATAGGCATACAAATTGTAGAGTAAAAAATTAAGATAAGTTATGTGATAAGTTTGAGTCATTAAAACATTTCTATAAAACATGGAAAATGAAAAGAAATTTTACCTGAAATGGCTTTTCCAATACGAGTAAAGGACATCCTCTTAAATTGATGGTCACAATTTTCCTTGGATAAAAACTTAATGGGAAAGACTGCGAAGGATAGCACTTCCAATCAAGTAGCCTTAAGTTATTTGGGAGAAAACGAGGCTCTTGTGAAAAACTTGTGTTATGAACAATGAGAATTCTAAGATTTTTCATCTTCTCAAATACAGTATTAATACAATTAATTTCTTCTCTTTTTGGAGGATCAAGCATTATTCCTTGAATTTGTCTACTTCCCTTTGAAACAATTGCAAATGGCATTAATTAAGTATGCATAATTTTAACACAAACTAAAATATTAAAAGATGATAAAAATCAAGAAACAAAGTCGACAAAATTCTTACATTATTATCAGCTAGTACTTGAAGAACATCTTCATGATGCCATAATCTGCTACGTTCACCAACTTCATTCCACGCTTCCTCCCTAACAATCTCTCTACCCATGTCTTGTAATAGGTCATGCATCTCCAAGCATTGACATTGATAGTCAATAGTTAAAAGAGATTTATTAACTAATGTTGTAATGCCATCCCCAGAGCAGAAGTCACATGCATCTAATACTTCTTTTACATATTCCAATCTCTTCCCTTTGAAGAAGCATGCAATGTCAAGAAAAATATTTTTTTCATTGAAAGGTAAACTATCATAACTTATTCTAAGAACTTTTTGAACATCTTCATGTGGATTCTTTTCATATCTATCCAATGCATCCTTCCACCCACCCAGATCTTTTCCAATCATATGAGAGCCTAGTACTTTTAAGGCCAATGGAAGGCCTTTGCAACAACGCATTGCACGGTAAGACAAATCTTCATAGTTTGATTCAGGATAACTTTTTTTAAAGGCAATCTGACAAATGAGCTCTAAAGACTCTTGTTCATTTAGCACTTTCACTTCGTATCTCTTTTCAACCCCACCAAAATCTAGCAAATGCTTATCTCTTGTGGTTATGACGATCCTACTCCCAATACCAAACCAATCACGTTCCTTTGCCAACTTTTTCAATTGTTCAACGTTATCAACATCATCGAGAACTATAAGAACTCTTTTTAAACCAAGTCTAATTTTTATTGCTCTAGTTCCTTCTTCAATACTTTTCAACTTGATTTTTTTTACTTCAAGTATCTCTGATAGGAGTCGTTCTTGCATATGTTTGAAGCCCTTTTGCTTTGAGGTTTCTCTAACATTGGAAAGAAAACTCGAACTCTCAAAATGCTTGTAAATGGAGTCATACAAAGCTTTGGCAAGTGTGGTTTTTCCAATTCCACCTACCCCATGAATCCCTAACAAGCAAGTGACGTTACGAGACTCAAGATCTAAAAGCGACTTCAATTCTTCAACTCGATACTTCCGTCCAACAATATGCTCATTACTAGATAAATCTTTTGGAGATACTTTAATGAAAATCTTGTCAACAAGATCATCAATAAACTTAGACTCGTCCTTCCTAATAAACAATACTCTTTAAATTAATCATCAAATTATTTTTGTCAAATTATATAAACACACCACAAACAATCATCCTATAAATACTCTTGCCTTAAATTAACAAGTACTTAATAGTATCTCATGTCCTTATTGTAGAATTCAATATTTCTAATTGATTTAGTCCTTTTCATAATACTCAATCTTCTAAATCTCAAGCATTAAATTTTTATTTATAAAATACACCTTTATTAAATACATTTACAAAATTTAACAAATGAGTAAAATTCATTTAATTTATCTCTTAAAATAAAAATAATAACTCATTCTTTTGTCCTTAGAGTGAAAAAATTTGAAAACACATATTAAGTATTTCTAATTTAAGAATAGTTTTGAAAAGTTGTAAAAATTTAAGATATATTTATCGATCATAACTAAGACAACTAACTTTTCTTAATCTTAGTTATTTAAACTTTATAATAAGTGCAAGACCAGATATATATACTTCATAACATAAAGTCAACACATGCATTCACACACATACACTTACCCTTGTTCTGATTGCAAATGTTCTCCTTTCAAGTTGGCTATGTCAGTCAAGGCTGATCTCCATTTGTGCACCTTGTCACAGTCTTTCCCAAACCTTGATTCATGCTTAGTCATGGCCTCACCATAGCTTCCTTTCTGATACCTCACATATGAGGGATCCACTTTGTAGAAGATGGGCCAAACGTGCTCACATTTCGACTTGATACACACAAGTTCATCAAGGCACCATGAAGAGGCTGCATAGTTTTCAGAGAAAACAACAATGGAAATCCTTGATTCTTCAATGGCTTTAAGAAGCACAGGAGCAAGCTGATCTCCAATCTTCAGTTCCACATCGTCCATGAAGGTGATAATTCCCTTCCGACACAAAGCATCATAGAGATGACAAGTAAACGTGTGACGCGTATCTTTGCCTCTAAAGCTAAGGAAAACGTCATATGAATACTTGGTCTCAGACAGTGCACCATGGTTTTCCATGATCAATGTATTGTAGTAGCAATCTTTCTTTGCAAGCATGTCATTCTATATTGTCATGGATATTATAAATAAAATACCCACAAAAGATAAAAACATTAAGCCAATAATTTTGGGAAATGTAAATTTATTAGAGCACAATTTTAATAATATTTGATATCACATCAGATAATATTCAATGATGGTGACTAATTTTTTAAATAATAAGTAAATAAGTAATCATTGAAAAAATTAAACCTATAGTATAATCGTAGGAATGTCAAATGGATCATGCATGATGGTTCATGCCTCTTTACTCAATCAAGAAGGTGACTCTTGGATAGAGATGGACGTGCTGTTCTTCAACACGTGGCACTGGTGGGCCATCACTGGAAATGCACAACCGTAGATCATTGTTTCAAATCACCCTCGTATATTATATAGTTTCCTATTCCTGTGGTTAATTAATTTTCAATGATGCTAACTTTTGGTGATATGTTAAAAATTCATGACAGGTACGTGGGACTATAACGACCATGTGTTACTGTCAAACCCATGGTTGAGTCAAGTACTATGGTATTGATAAAAATTTATTCACTAGAGTGTGGGATTGTTTCTCATAATTTGTTAGATATGACTCAATGAAGGGTTTCAAGATATCTTGTTTTCTTACTTTTTTTCTATTGCACAATTGTAATTCTTTAGGGACTAAAATTATCCAATTAAAACCTTCAGGATCAACATTGCACAATTACAATACTTGAGCGATCAAAAATGTAATTAAGAAAAAATTAAATTAATACTCCTTTTTTTTTAATTTCACAAGTTTTTTTTTATTTTAAATATTTTTAATGAATGTATTAATTTCTTATGCTCAAAATTGACAAATTTTTATTTAATTAAATGAATTTCATAATTTTTTAAGTTCTTTAATGAAAAAAAAAATATTTTTAATTTAATTATTTTTTTAAAAATATTTTTAACATATTTTATTTAATTATGCATAATTCTTAGATATAACAGTTTCATAAATAAAATTTCATATTTTGAGAGGGAACAATTCGTCACAAATTTCTTCACAAAATATTTTAAGCTATTTGTGACGGATTTTTTAGAGACGGAATTTATTCCGTCACAAAATCCGTCACAAATATTTTTTTTTTATTTTGTGATGAAATTTGTGACGGATTTTTAGAGACGAAAATTTTCCCTCACAAAATCCGTCACAAATGTTTTTTTTTATTTAGTGACGAAATTTGTGACGGATTTTTAGAGACGAAAATTTTCCCTCACAAAATCCGTCACAAAAGTCAATAAATGCTAGTCCGTCACAAAACTTAAAATTTCCTCACAAAATACGTTACTATTAACGACAATATTTTTTCCGTCACAAAATTCGTCACAAATATTAATTTTTCTAGTAGTGTATCCCCTCCTTTTCTCGCTCAATTTTTTTTAGTAATTTGTGTGTTTTTGAAAAAATGACTTCCTCATCTGCCTCAGACTCAGATAATGCCTCACAGATGTTCAGAGTTTGAGTAATTTTATTATCTTCAGTCATGTTTGTTTTTGGGTTACTGTAATTATTTTTAGAATTTAATACATGAGAAGAGGGTGAAAAGAATAAATATAGAAAGTTTGTAGAAATGACGTATGTTATTGATGAATGTAAAAAAAAAATCTTGTACAAGCCCTTATGTTGTATAAACTCGTGATCGTGGGAAAAAGGTTATAAGTTGAATATGAATTTAAAGAAAAATTTATATTTTTCAAAGAGAGCCCCTTAACGGCGTTTCAATAGACCATTCCTAAGTTGCTATTACTCCTAGCCATTCATTAGTGTTTGGTACATTGGCCTTAAAACTTGAGCCACCTGGCGTCGATAAGCTGTTGTACATGAATTTTCAATGCCTTGCAGTTTGCTATGGAGTGTCCTATTGCCCCGAACTGATAACCACAAGTTTCTTCGGGCCTAGACCATTGTAGATAAGGCAGCTCCAGCTTTTTCGGTGGTGGGGTCCGTACCAACATCGAGGCCTTTAGAAACCAAGGATGTAGATCTATTTCTATGTTGAGAAATATGATGAGATGATATAGTTAAAAGTTGTGAAGTGCATGATGATAATATTGTGAGTTGTGAGAAACATGATGTGAAGTGTGTAGATATGTGTGATTTATATAGATATTATTAGTAGACTGTGTTGTTAAGATTGTTAGAGGAGAGTTGCATGTTGCTATAAAGTTGTATGTTGTGCCATGTGTTGAAAAGATATTACTTTATGATGATTGAGTTGTAAATTATGAGTTGAGCTAATAAGCTGTTGAGTTGATTGTGTTGTTTAAAGTTGAAATGAGATGTTGTGTTGTTAAAATGTGTTGTTAAACAGCATTGATGAGTTGTTGTGCTGATATACCATGTTGTTTAAGTTGAAAGTTGATTGAGATGATGAGTTGAAAAGTTGTACATTGTTTAAGTTGTTGAGCTGAGTTGTGCTATTGAGTTGTAAGCTGATTAAGCTGTGATGATGAGTTGTTGATCACTAGGACTAGGGGAGATGTTTTCGAAGTTGCTCATCCTATTGTGTGGATTGAGATAGTTGTGGTGCTTTGAGAGCCTAATTTGTTGAAAAACCCTCCTTGGGAAGTTGTCCCTTGGAGTGGACGTTGTGTTGTTCTCTTCTAGGACTTAGTTGATCCCGTGTGTGGGTAAGGTCGAGGCACACGTGTACAAAGTGACCATGGTATAGGGGCCAGGTTGAGCTATACCGATTACAAGCGACCAATTTGAGTAAAGTACGAAGTCGGGAACTTAGTTCCTAACCGAGTATCAGAGGGTTGTAGTATTTGGAGGATAGTCGGTAGGCTAATCCCATAGGTGGCTTATTTGAGCTAGCTAAAGTCGTGGTAGGCCTAGACCCAACTGTTCTATCCTGACATAGTACTATACTTCCTTGTTTAAGTGGCAAAGTCTAAGAAACCGTTATCGTGTTGTGGATTGATATCCCCATTTGTTGTTTACCTAGCAAGCCCAAAAAGGTACTATGTTGTCGGTTGGGTATGACCTAGCTACTTAGACTACTCACCACGTTGTAGGAGATCTCCGAGTTGAAATGCGTGACGAAACATAAGTTATTGATGAGTTGATTTATTGTTGATACGAGTTGTATATATGTTGTTGTGTTGTTAAGCTGTGATTGTGTTGTATGTGCACCCTGTTGAGGATGATGATAGTGTTGTTATGTTGTAAGTTGCTTTTAAACATGTGTTGTTGAGAGATGTGTAATACATGTGTTGGTTGTTGTTATGATGAATATGGTAACTATTTCAAGTGATTTTTACAGTAGTTGTGTTGAAGTATTGATGAGTGTTGATATGTTGAACATAAGTTGAAACGATGTTATCTTGGAGGACTCCTAAGGGATAGTGCAGTTTGGAAGGCCTAGTTCTGCCCGTTTGTGTGCATGGGATGTATCTTGCACAGTTTCGCTATCCCAATGAGACCCTAGTAGTACATCTTTCTAGTTGAGAGTGCACGATTGAGCCGACATGTACTCCTAAACTACTCCAGGTATGTTGCTTCGGTAGTATACCTCGAAATATGTGATTATGAGACACGTGACTGGCGCCACATGCATGCATTTATGAGTCGAGTCCATGACATCATTGCATGATGAATGACTATGCATGTGGTACTGTTGTATGTATAATTTGAATATGCACCTGATTAATGTGTAGTTATGGCTGTTCTTGTTATGATTTGTGTGTGTGTTGTCTATTGTTATTTTTACACCTAAAACTGAGTGAGATGTTTCTCACTCCCTTTTTGTTCTTTATGTGTTTAAATTGTGTTGCATGTGATCATCAGCATGAGGATGTTGATGATGAGGCTTAGGCTTCAGTTGCGCATGCTCTGATAGGATATGTGACATCGAGGCATAGCTAGGCTTAGTTTAAGATTTCATTATTGTTATTTTGTTTTGGAAAAACTCATGTTTCATTTTTCTATAAATTTCGCATTTGACCATGTTTTAAGTTTACGAATGTGAATTCTCTACTCTTATGTTAATGGAACCATTGTTTTAATTCTAAAGATTATATTTAACCCAAGAATATGTTTTATAATTGTTGTATATGTATGTTGGGGTAAAGCGTGTCACACATAGAACTTATTGAAATTATCAAACATCCAAACAAAAACATGTATATAATTACAAAAAAATCTTAGGGAACTCTCCCTTTACCCATTTCCTCATGTGACTTTGCATATAAAGATCCCCTTTTCCCCCATATCTGCTTGCGTTAATCAAAATATTCCTGGTTAGTGAAAGTCGTTCCTGATCACTTCCTGGGCACTCCTCCTTAGAACTCTTACTTTTACTTTCTCTTTCTCTTACTCCTTCAAAACTAACAAATGAGACTAATGAGGGTTAAGCTATTAACCCTTTCCTTTACATGCCTTTGGGCCGGGTCAACCTAACTCAATTCACTTCCTGACCCATCTCTCCTTTTTTCCAAAATAATTTAATAAAATACATAT